TGACCCCCGCCAGCTAAGAAGATTGCGGTTTCTTTCTGCCAGCTGCAAGGAGGCAGTCGAGGCTCCCTTTCTGTGTCCATCACAACCTGTGTCACGTCACGCGAAGCCTTTGTTCACTCAAGTGGGTCCTATACCTCCTGAATACACTGGAGGACATTTCCCAGCTTCCCTTGCAGCTAGGTGCTATCATGTGACTCTGTCTTGGCCAATGGAAGAAGAGAATGCTAATTAAGGCTCCAGCATAAAATTTCCTGCCTCACCAGGCACTGGTGGCTCACGCCTGTAATCCTAGCTACTTAGGGGGCTGAGATCTGAGGATTGAAGTTCAAAGCCAGCCTGGGAAGGAAAGTCTGTGAGACTTTTATCTCCAATTAACCACCAAAAAAAAAAATGGAAGTGGAGCTGTGGCTCAAGTGGTAGAGTGTTCACCTAGAGCTGAAGAGCTGAGGGACAGCGCCCAGGCCCAGAGTTCAAGCCCCACAACTGGGGGTGGGGGGACAACTTCCTGCCTCTTCTTTCTACACCTTCGCCATCTCTTCTGAGCATCTTCTAGGCAGGAAGCAGGGTGGCAAAGCTATACAATGAGCAGAGCCTTGAGGCTTCCTAAATGAGCTTGGGCATGGAAAAGAGACACAGCATCACCATCAGTGAGCAAGACCCTGGGATCTGAGTCTTACTTGTTACTGCAGCAAAATCCAGCCCAACGCACAGACTACAAGAGTCGCTCCCATCTTCTCACAGGTGAGGCAGGGACACTAACAATGCCCCGCGCTAAGCAGGACAATCAGACCCACCAAGGGGAGATGAGCCTCAGCCCGGAGCTCAACAGTTAACACAACCTGCAGCAGACTCAGCTCGCGGGGTCCTGGTCACCTCCAACTTGACAAAGTGCCTCCCGGACAAGCGTGATAACAAAAGCACTGACGGATGCGCAGGACGAAGCGTGCGGCCTGCATGGAAATGCTCAGGAAGGCAGCTAGGAAGAGGCACCGGCCACCAGAAGACCGGGCTGCCCCCGGGGAGGCCTGCGTACCTCCCACCCTCATTTACACCCTCCTGAGGCCCCAGCTGAGACTGCGGAGGCACATGGAGCCTGAGAAGGGACAGGGCGCGTGCACAGGGCGCAGAGCCGGAGGACAGCGTGCACGCGCAGCCTCACTGCACGGCCTGCTTTTGCATCCCGCCTCCACTCTACCACTTGCTGTCCTTTCTGCCTCAGTTTCCTCACCTGTGGGACAACGGGGCTGGGCCCCCAGAGGACAGGGGGTGCTGGGCTCACTGAGTGGCCCCTCCCAGTACAAGGGCCAGAACGGAAATCCAACTTGGCCCTGGTTCTTGTTTTGTTTTTCAATTAAGCAGGGAAAGAAAGGAGCTGGGGAGAAGAATTCAGGACAGATGAATAAATGAATAAACAGCACTCACTGCACTCTGGCGCTCTCTCTCTCTCTTTCTCTCTCTCTCTCTCTCTCTCACACACACACACACACACACTTGAGAAATGACTTTTTGAGAGAATCGTTCTCAAAACAAAAACAAAAACTCTGCTTTGTTCCTGGAACCAGCATGCAGAATTCAGCAGTGTGAGGGGAGGGAGGGAGGGGGCGGCGCGAGCTCAGCACACACTGCTGGGAGTCTCCGGCTCCAAAAGAGATGGGGGGGGGAGACACAGAACAGGGGGAGCATGGGGACCTCTGCCCAGTACCCTGGGAGGCTGGCGTCTCCCTCCTTCCTTCAGTCTTTTCCCTCTTTCTGTTATGCAGCCCCCGCTACCCTTGAACTATGTCCTCACCCCTTCAGTCCTGGGATTTGAACTCAGGGCCTGGGTGCTGTCCCTGGCTTTTTTTTCCTTTTAAGGCTAGTGCTCTACTACTTGAGCCACACCTCCACTTTTAGGTGATTAATTGAAGATAAGAATCTCCTGGCTTTTCCAGCCTTGGCTGGCTTCTAAGCACAATCCTCAGATTATCAGCCTCCTGAGTATCTAAGATTATAGGTGTGAGCCATTAGCCATTGGACTCTTTGCCTCTCCCACCTCCACCTCTCAAGTGCTGGGATTATAGATGGGACCACTATGCCCATCTTTTTATTGGCTGAAGTGAAGTCTCCTGAATTTTTTTTGGGGGGGTGGGGCCTGGGCTGACCTTGAATCTCAACCCTCCTGACCTCTGCCCCCTTGTAGCTCTGCCCGTGCATCAGTTCCCTCTCGTGTACTTCTCCCACTGCTTCCTATTTCTGTCCGGAATGCAGGGAAAGTTCGTGAGGACAGGGGCAGCTATTTGCCTTGTGAAATAAACATGATCCCTTGGCTGCCCTCTGCAGTGAGATGGCCGGCGCCATGCCCACTCACGGCCACTCTGCAGTCCGAGGTCCCGAGGGGATGGACGGATGGGTAGGGAATAAATGAGAATACATAATGCGTGGATGGGATTGCGGGTGAATGAATGAATGAGTGACGGTGAACGGCTGAGTGTACAGCTGCTGTCTGCCAGCGCGGAGGTCAGCCTGCAGGACTCCCGGGCTCTGCACACCCCACTGTGTGACCCCACGCAACTCACACAAGCGCTCTCAGGGCCTAACCCCGAAGCTGG